TTTTCATTTCGACTTTGACCTCCAAAGTCGAAACATTTCGACTTTTTGGGTTTTCATTTCGACTTCATGTATAATCAGTATCATTTTATTCTACTATGGATGATATTTATCTTGTTTTTGCAAGAATTCAGAAAAGTATGCAATGATAATAGTTTTACAGCATGTGAAATTGCAAGTAAAATATCTCGTAAAATTAAGAATATTAGATAATTATAGATAATGCTTCAGTAATCTTAGCAATTTTAAATACCTGAAGTAAACTTTCAGTTTTTTTAGATAAATTAAAATCAAATGCTTATACTCATATTCAATTTGTATTTGAAATTTATAAAGAATAATCTTTTTCATCTACAAATTTAATTCCATCTATTCCTATTAAAAAAAATAGCCAATATTTTACATAACTTCAACAAAATTTAACATCTATAAATGAAATTTCTATTCTAGCATTAGAAATAAAAATAGAATTAGATCATTATTTTGATCTACTAATTGATAAAGAAACTGAATCTCTTTTATGGTGACAGACTCATTCAAATGAATTTAATTTTAAGTAAAATGACACGAGACTATCTAATGATATAAACTACAAGTGTTACATCGAAGTAAGTATTTTCAATTGTAAGAAATATGATTACAAAAACTCAAAATCATTTATTACCAGAAACTGCAAAAGTTTATTATGCATAAAGAGTTGGATGAATAATAATTTAGTAAATAGTTAAATTAGTAAATAAATAGTGTAATAAATAATAATAAAGAATAAAAATAAATAATAAACAATTTTAAGTAATAAAGTAATGATTGAATGTTTTATAATTTAATTTAATAAAAATTTATTTGATTTTAAATAATTTTATTTTATCAGAGTCAGTTTGGTCAGTTCAGTTTCGAGTGTCACTTAAAACCGTTTATTTGGAATTATTCTATCAGTTCAGTTTGGTTCAACTCAGTTTGTTTCTTAAAATCAGAATTAAACTTTTAGAGTCATTCTCATTCTTACTTATGACCGGTTATTTGATCATTTTAAATTAATATAATCATATGGCTTTAGTCATATAAGTAATATAAGTTAATTCCGACCAGTATTATAAAATTTAATTGCCATAAAAGGCTATTAATATTACACAAAATCTCAAAATGATAATTTTTAAATTTTAAATATGTTACACAAAATTTATTGCTTTAATGTAACGTTACACTAATCCACATAAGGTGGCCGAAATTAGAAAAATCACGTTTTTTATGACCTTAAGTATATGACGATGTTATGACTTGATTCTCAGAGGAAACCACCTGAATTGTAACAGCCCTGTATTAGAATGGAATCAAATAGGCTTTAGCTTGGGATACATGTTAATATTTCTATGTTACTAATGGCAAATCAAAGCCTTGGTCAAAACATCTGAAATCATGTTTTGCAGGAATGTATTTATTGCAAATTGATTTTTTAATTATTCAGATACATTAGATAACACATATGCTATATTACTATCTTAAACACGCTTGTTAGGCTGTGTAAAAGTCAAAAAGAAATTAAGAAAACCATAAAACTAAAATAATAAAATAAGTAATTAATAATAATCTTCCCATTTCGTAATCTGCTCATATACAGTTCCATTATCTTCAAACCAACTCAACTGATCTACCCCTTTAACTATGTGTTTCGATGCTTCTTCAGGAGAATCACCAAGTGGCCATAACGTTTGACTCATATTTTCCCACAAAAAAACACGACTATAACAGTCTAAAAAGATCATTCCATAATCGGTCTTCCCAATAATAATTATATGATCAAAGCCAAAATCAGCAACACATCTAATATGATAAGTTAGTTTTTTCGGATCACTATCAAAAACTTCATAATTAACCAAGGTTGCAATACGAGTATTATCTTTAAATGCATCAACTAAGATGGGAGAATCGTTGCAACGCGACGTTCTTCCATTTTTTCCTTCACATAATTGCATTTGAGACATGGTTGTAGGGTTTCCGATAGTTGATCCTCTACTGGTAAAGTGATAGTCCGCGTGTACAAGAAAACACGTTTTCTGAGGGACAATCATTTTCCAACCATCGCCTCCCAGGGAACCGATTCTGAACAGTTCCCCAAAGGATGCCTGCATTTTTTCAATTGTTCCGGTGTTTGGACATCCTTCACGAACTTTGCCCAACGTAATATCTGCATGTTCTCCGTCCTTGTATTTACTACCTCCATTCTCACTGTTGGATGGCAACGAATCGACGAACCCATCATGAATTTCACATCTTTGCCTTTCCGTTTCGATACTTGATTTGAGTATGTGAGGTTCACTGTTGCCGGACGCAATTTTGGATCTTGTAGTATTATCACTATACTCTGTGCTAAGCGTTCCTGACTCTCGTATAGATATTTGATTTGCTCCTCTACTGTCATCTTCTTTGAGAGCCGATGCGCATAACTCCAAAGGAGACTCCAAGCATCGTAAAACGTAATAACTGGTATCGGTTGAAACTTGTCTAGGAATACTGTTTTTCCTGTTGGACCGCAAGGCGTCAATTCCCCCTTCGTTCTATATAAAATATGATTTTTGATTTCCTTTAAGCTTTTTATTCGTTTAAGCTTTTTTTCTGCTCTTTCTCTCCTTACCACGAAATCCACAATCAGTTCCTTCTGCCATGGTTCATTTAAGTTGTTTAACGAACTTAAGAAATAGATATAAATATAAAATTGCTCAAAGTCTCAAACTAGCGAACAGACTAAAGTCATTAACAGTTAAACATACTTTATTTGGTTTTCTGATTCCACAGTTGTTGCCATATATACAAATCGAGAACAGAATAGCGGGATTGTCATGCTTAATCAATCTTTGAGTATCATCACATGAAGAATAGAGCCCACGGATTCGTGCATTTGCATAATAACGCATTAATGCACTATAATTTTGCATTCATAGGCGGACATTCACGTGATTGGTCGATCCTATTCAATTGAATTTATACAGTTTAAAGTACTTTTCGTGATTTAGATAATCTACTTAATAAAATAAGTTAAAATTTTATTTTCAGCTCTGAAATAACTTTAAAAGTCTCTATGCAAAAGAATCAAAAAAGAATTAAAAACCCGGAGGACTTTACTTAGAAGACAAAATATGCCTATTATTGGATCATGCGTAATTACTATATGCCAAAGACAGTTAACTAATTGGAGAAAGTAACTGAGTTTATTATTACCAAAGGTTAAGCTAACCATACTTTGCCAGTTTATGTCCATTTAGGTGATACAATATGCTTGAACTGTTATAATGGAATTGTAATAAGAAGTTCAGCTGAATTTCTATAACATTCTCAAGCAAGCATAGCATTCATTTTGAAATAACCTCAACCTCTGCCTCAGGTTTCACTTCCACCTTAGTCTCTGCTACCCTCACCTTCTATTTATCCTTTTCTGAAGCAATAAAAATAGTAACTGATATTTTATATAATTATGAAATAGGGAAAAGAAATTGGCGATATACTCTTTTGACGAATTTTGCATAATTATGAAAGAGAAAGATGCAAAATTAAAGGTTTTTGATAAGCTATATCTTTCATCTAACCTTTCATCAAAAAATGAAAGTTTGCAGGCATAGATGAAAAAGCAGCTCCTATTTATATGCTACTTCCTCTGTAGAATTCGTAACAAGTTTGTTAATGATGCAAAGGGGATTTGAAGATGTATTTGGATTCCACTGGTATTTCTAATGCTTCCATAGATACTCTTGCTGATCTAGATGTAACTACAATATCTTGTACAATCACGTAGCATAAGGCTATCATATTTGATGAACATGCTAAAACTGTTGATTCTACGCTTGCAGAACATGCAGAGAAAGCAATGGTATTAAATATCAACGATTATCATAGTATCCATATGAAACAGATGCTGAATACGACTACCACTTTTATGCAGCACATTTGGTAACAATTTTGATGAATCTGATTACTACACAGAGTGTAATTTCAAGTATAAATATACACAATTCTAGAATGGTTGACACAGAGTTAATAAAACTGAATCTAAATAATAGATTCATGATGCTTCTTGATCTTTCGCATAATTAATGTTGGGAATTCCATTCAGTTGATGATAAAACTAAATTAGAAAAGTTAACCGTACATAGCTACAATACTAGATTGAAAGAAAATCAGGATGCTTGTTCGATGAAAATGTCATTCTCATAGATTTACAAGAAAATATTCTATAAATGCATATATTAAGGCTATTAATGCTGTTGTAAATATTCTGTCTATGCAACAGTATATTCAAAAGGAATATATTATACCCATCGTCGCTGATTGGCCTGGACAAATATATCTTCAGATAGTTATCTCTCATTTTATATTATATTACGATCAATTGAATATTACTAACTCTATTTTATCATTTCTTTCTATTATAAGTCTCTTGCATATCTTATTAAATAGACGAGAACTAATATTTCTTCAATACTGGCCATTTTTTTGGCTATGTACAAGTACATTTTTGGAGAACGAAGTCCCCTTGCACAAAAGCCCAAGCTATGGCGTATTAATCTTCTCTTAGAGGTTTCTTGTGATATTACTACTGATAAAAATGCTTATTATTATAATGCTTCTCAAATACTTGAAATTGAGAAAATATATGATGAAATAGAATATTATATTACACATAAATATTTATGATACAGATAATTATAGACAAAAATTTTAGTAGTTATTAATTTTTTGAAGTCATTGGTATTGAAAGATGCTGTTACTGGGAATAATTCTCCTTGTATCACATGTGTTTTACTAAATTACTCTACTGCGGTAAGTAAATTTCTTATCATCAAACTTTACAATCTTAGGGAATCTCACATTCTACAGGTATTCAGAATGCCTTGAAATAACTTCACTTGATTTTACAAACTTAAAGGTTTAGAGACTTAGAAAAAATGTAGAGAATTTAGTTATTCTAAATAACGAACTTAATTGCAAGTTAATATAGTGATAGTAATTTACGATCAAATTCTAGATGATGGATACGTAGAAAGAAAAAGTAATTGTTTTTCAAATTTGATTCCTTTATTTAATACTTGAAACTCACAAGTATTTTAGAACTTATAAGAGAGTTAAAAGAATTTGCAAAAGAGTTAATTTACAATTTAAGTAAAAAGCTATTCTATTTATACAAAATTAATTTGCTACAGCTAACTAGTTGCTACATTATAAACTAACTATATTTGTAATTATAAGTGCTAATATAATAATAATTATTAAAATAATAAAAATAAGCATTATAATAATTATCTAGCTTATAAAGCTTATCAGGTAAATCCTAAGAATCCTAAAAATCCTATGGATCCAGAATTATGCAGATCTTCTAATTTATAATCGACATAAAATTAATTCCAATAACTTCTGTAGATCATTTAATAATTCTTTGTAGATCAACTTTTCAATAGTAAATTTTTAGCCGATAACAATTCTCCTTCCACTTTAATTTTGAACGTGGTGAGAAATAATTTTTGTCCTCAAAATTTCCTTTTAATTTCCAAAACTTTTACTAGATTTTTACATATTTTACAAAAATATGTAGTCCACGGTAATTAGACTAGGCTTTACAGCCAGATCCCCCTTCAAAAACTTAGATGTTGATAGTAGTAGTCTGTGGTAATTAGACGAGATCTTAAGATCAGATTCCCCTCAGGACTTTCAACAGTTATAATTATAGTTTGTGATAAAATTATATAGGACCAAAATTTAATAATCTTTGAAATTATGGGACTTCTAACCATATAAAAGATTGCTTGTCATACATTAATCTACATCAAATAAATTTTATCAAAATTTCTTCTTCTTTAAAATTAAATCATTCCAAAATGCCTTCAAAAAGTGCTATTCAAAAGAAACTTGAATGAAACAGAACCTTTCATACTGAAAGAAAAACAGAAAATCTTCAAGAACAGCTTGCTCGTCTTCACTTTTCCCTTTGCTTAGAAGAGCAAAAGAGACTCCTTGCTGATGAATTACTTGAAGTTCATCAAAATTCGCAAGAACTTCGTAAAGTATTGGAAGATAGGGATAATACAATTTTACTTCTGAAATATTGTGAAGAAGAATTATTGTGAGGTCTGGATTTTTTAGAGATCCAAAATCTAAACAACGGGTAACAAACTTGCAGGAACGGTTATATTACAAGGATGTTTTGGAGGGAAGGATTATTGTTGATGTGGATAGGACTTGGTGGTGGATTTGTATTTCTCTTTTGGTTAGATTTCTTTTGGGTTATTTCATCTTTGGTATTTTCTTTGATTAGGTAATTTGTTAAATTAGGCTAGTAATTATGGCTGAGGTGGAGTTCTTGTTGTTGATCAAAATTAATAAATTTTATTCTATATTTTGTGACTTAATCATATTGATCTGATTTTCAATCATGATGTACTAATCTATCCCTATATCAGAAAATTTCATTCAAATTCAATTTTCAAGTAATCTACTATGAGGAAAATCCTTTTAAAAGTGAATATGAATCTAAAATTTACTTCCTGATCGACTGATTATGCAAACTAAACTTTTCCAAGGCATGCTGTGTAGAATATTGCAAGTATTTTTCTATATTAAGAATTTGTATACATAATATCTCGTTCTTAAAAATTATGCAATATTTTCTCCTTGTACTTTTGAATGTACAGATACTAAATTAAACTTAGATGTTGCATCTGAGTAAATTCTAAAATTATTACATCATTTTTGTCCAATCAAATCAGCTTATCCTATTTTGATCGTCATGTTTATCGATCCATAAACAAGATTTAGTCATGTTCTACAAATTTCTTGTTTGTTGATCGTCACCAACCAATAGATACTAATATCCTTTTGTTTATTTTTCTGCAAAAGAAAATTTTCCCATGTTGTTTAAATTTTTCCCCTGCTGATTTTTCAAATATAAAAATCTCCTTTTTAAATTTCTCCTTTTTTTCAAAGAAAATTTTTATACTACCAAAATTATTGTTATTTTCTTTTTGTAAGTTTTTTTTTGATTTCTTTTTGATAAAATATATTCCATCCATTGAAGATTTAACGAATAATACTTAAAGTTACTGTGATGTTTTAAGTTTACTAAAGTATTGAAGGGACGCCACACATCTGATACTTTCTGAGAACGAAAGACTAGAAATTGAACGGAGTTAATATAAGCGCTGTATTAACGTAGATATTTATCTTATTTTTCTTTCTAGCAAAATAGCTTATACACGTCATCAAAGAAGAGTCATAGTTAGAATAAACAATAAGAAATCTCCATCCACTCATCGTAGAGCTTTAATTCGTCAAAGAGAACGTAATAATGAAAGAGTTTTTGAAGGTGAGACAGGTAGACTTAAGAATAGTCCTAGACTAGATGACTGGGTATATAGAATACATCTCAGCACAGGTTTTGCCGGAGCTTGACGGAATATGCAACCCATCTGTCATCTGAAGAAGTGTGACAGTATATTCGACCCACTTAGTTTGACTGCAGCATTCTAACATTTTTGCGTTAACCGCAGGATTTCATCAAAATACTTCTTTGGCAAAAACTTGTCAGAAAAATTTGGAATTACGTCAAGAAAACTTAGACCTAAGAAGACAATTAGCAATTTCCTTAAATCGTTCTAATGAATTTTCTTTTGAATGTACTCGTTTGGAAAATGAATTGACACAGCTTTCTTCTCTTTTAACCTATAGAAAGAACAGATCTGATAGATTTAAAGAAGCTTGTCAACAGTATAGAGAAGAGTTACGTTTACTCCGAGAAAAAGGTCGTCCAGAGGATCTTCAAAGAATACAAAAATTGAATCATCTAGTTGAATAACTTCATCATAATTACGAGCAATCTCTTGATCATTAATATGCTGAAAACTTGAGGAAATAACTAGGTAAACTGTGCTCCCTGTTTTACCAAAGATTTAATGATACAGTTTACAAGATTGTTAGCATAGCGAAGCTTAAGGAATAGTCACTTAAAGGAATTTACTTTCCTAGACACGGAATGTGAGTGTATCACTCCCTGCTAACTTTTACAATATCTTCTTTTGTTATAATAGATAATTTGCATCAAATTTTCTTCTATTTTTCCAAGAAAAAGATCTTTTCAAATGGGGTGTAGAATATAGATTTCATGTAAGATTTTGCTATCCTCGCGCAGATTAAGTATAATTTTTCTTTTAATATTCATTTTATAACCACATATTATTAATTTCTACTCGAAGGGAATGTCGTACGCTTTGGCTAATCTTGAACTATGCTTGTCATACGCTTCGGCTGTTCATGAGTCTACGCTCCCTTTCCTCTCTTTTGTAGCTAAATATTTTTGTTGTTAATGTAGTTTTCTAAAATAGTTTTCTCTATATGTCTTTTATCTTTTGTTTTCTCCAAAAATTATGTATTTTCCAATATTTAATAAAATTTTGCGTATTATCGCACTTTTG